TGGAATTGACGGCATGATAGAAATGGTTCGGGCTACGTTCCAGGATTTCCAGAGTATCTAGCGGCCCTCGTCTCTGCAGCCCGAGCGGGACATTCGAAAATCCTGAGAGACAAAAAAAACAGAGCAACAAGAAAACAAAACAAACTGGAACCCTTGGAACGTCTTGTTCTCATGACCGCTTGCGCCCCTGCTGTGCGGCACTTCCTTCTCCGATGATCGCCTGGCCTCAGCTGTGGCCTTCGCCGTGGGCGCAGGCCGGGCCTGCGTCCACGGGCGAAGCTCCGCGTGGCGCTCGCCTCGGGCGGCGCCCCCCGTGGGAGCTCGCTGCCGCACGCGCTGCGGCGCGTGCCACCGCGTGCGGGCTGCGGTCCACCGAGGGCGAGCTTGCCGCCCACTTCGGAGGCGCACCCCTCGCCGGGCGAGGCTCGAGGGCACCGCTCTCCCGGGGATGCCGGCTACACGGAAGGGCGACCCTGGGCAAGAGCGCCCAGTAGCGCGCGGCTTCACGGGGGACGCGGGGTGGCCAGACCTGGGCGCGCGCTCAACGATCGGGGGACCCCGTGGGGCCCGCACCAAGGGGCACTCGGGCAAAAGGTCACTCTGACGCCCAGTCGAGGATGGGGCGCAGGGCGGATCCCTGCCCTCCCGAAATACGTTCGAGCCGAGGGGGAAAGCACAGATCGCGCAGACGTGCTGGGCCACGGCGAGCACTGCCGCAGGAGAGGTGGGCGTCGGGCGGCTGTCTGGTGCGACTCGCTCCGGGAGCCTCGACGCTGCGGCGCGCCCGCCCCGCCTTGCGCGGGGCGCTGCTGCGGGTGCTCTCCTGAGGGCACCAGGGATGCGCCACACGCCTTGCCATCGCTCGGACGTCCATTTCCCCGCGCACTGTTTGATTTCGCGCGTGCTTCTTGTGCCGGATGTTCCAGGATGCTCCTCGATGGTCCTCGCCGAGAAAAAATGCACACGCCCGAGAGATGCCAAAATGCGCACAACTCCTTCTCCCTGCTGGACTGAGTGTTCCGCTGGTGTGGCTGAGTGTTCTGCTGGCGTGGCTGCTTGCTTTGCATATCTAGGATTTGTTTCCTTGATTTGCTGGCCACACCCGCCTCCACGCGAGGCGGTGCCACCAGGCCCGCGAGTCTCTGGGCACTCCTTGCCCATCGACTTCACAGGGCAGCCTAGGCAGCGGACAGTCGTAGCATACGCACTGGTTGTATAGTATGCCCGTTTTGGCGAGTAGCTTCCGCTACAGCCTGACCTACTCACATAGTTGCGTGTCTGTCCACTCCTGCTCTCCGGCCCCCCCTCTCTGCTGCCTCCCGACCTCCGCGCACCTGTGCAGAACCTCCTCTTCTGCTGCCAGGCGTCCCCCCTATGGGGCGCGCCTGCGGGCATGCTCTGCATCCCCCTGTGCTGCACGCGAGAAGTCTGAGGAGGAGGGAGCGGTCCACGGCAGGCACTTCTCCGATCGACAGGTCGGCAGACACGCCCACGAGGATCTGGCGCAGGGGCGGATGTGTCCATACTGCAGCTTCGTGTCGTGACGATTTGCGCGTTGGCTTCTGGCACCGCGTGGATCGTTCGACCTTGAACGGTCGGCAGCGTTTCCATCGCTCGATCGGTGCATATGAGCCAACTCTGGCCACTGGCGGCGTTCAACCTCGAACGCCCGCGGCGGGGTCGTCGCCGCCGCGTCGACACGACGCTAACCCGGCGTATCCATATCCAACGCTCCACGAAGATCTTCTGGGTCACGTCTCCAGACTGGTGGGAATGGAGAGAAGTCCCTGGCGACGGAGGGAGGAGGGGTCTCCTGGCGGCACGCACAGAGAGCGTGGACCGAGGGTGGGGGCCTTCTCAGAAGGCAGGGTGCCTTGTAGAAGCCATCCTGGCTTGTACCAAGGCTCCTTAGAAGCCTCCGAACCCTTCCAAGAAGCACCCGGCATTCTTAAGAGGCCACCCCCTCGCCCCACCCACTTGTGTTGAAGGGCAAGGATCATGAGGGCCGGCTCAGGGGAGGGAACATCGACCTGGAATCGGCGATACATCGGTGATAGATCGGCGACGTGCCCTCGATAGCAGAACCGCACGTCCCTGGGCGTGGTGGGATATCGGGCCCCTATCGGCTATGAATGGGCGATTGGGGCCGATGCATCTCCCCCTGAACCTATCCCCCCTAACGTTGCCCTTTTTGGCTTTCTGGTCATGACTCGTGTCTCGGGCGGCCATTCGACGAAGCGCAGCTGATGGAAACCATCCTGGCCTCGAACGTTTCCGAAAACTTCCGAAAACATCGGATTTCGGGTTTCGAGGGCCAATCCCCCCCGAACGCTGCCGCGGATGTGCGCGCCGACGCATAGAATGACGTCCCGCCCCCAGCGGCGGCGCCCGCGGGTCGGGGGTACCTGGAGGTGGGGCTCGGGCAGAGGTGGGGTTAAGGGAAAATCGCCCTGGACGGCTCCCGGAGATGGAACACGCCAGCCTCGAGCAGGGTTCGCCCCCAAAATCCCGCCTTGGGCGACCCCGCCCCCGTGCCCCCGAGCGGGAATCCTTGGCAGATGGGGCGAGAATTCAGCGGCTTTCGGGGCTGCCGATCCAGCGCGGGCCGCTTCCCAAAATCCCACCCCCATCCTGAGATCCGACGTAGCGAAAAAAATACAACTTGGTTCGATCCGGATCGATTTGCGAGGGTCCTGGGGCCCCAAACTGGGAGAAAGCACTCGGGTCGGAAAAATTGAGACACCAAGATCTTAGGGCAGTCGCGGCACCCAGTCGGCAAGTCTGCCTCGGGGGCGGGGGTGTCTCGAGGACTCCCAGATTCCAGATGTGGTCCGAGCTGATGGGATCGAAAGATCAAGCCGCATCGCAAATGCATCGCCGATGCATCGGCGACGCATTGGCGATGCACCAGCGACGCCGGCAATGCATCGGCGACGTCGGCGCGGACAAAATCCGGCTCCGCATCGAGCCGCATCGACGACGCATCGGCAATGCATCGGCGATGCGGCGCGATCCTCCGACCCCATCTACCCCGACCCGATCTGGGAGGCCTCCAAAGGAGAGGAGGGAGAAGGAGGAGGAGGAGGAGGAGGAGGATAAAAGGGAGGAGGAGGAGGACGAGGAAGAGGAAGAGGAGGGAGGAGGAGGAGGAGGAGGAGGAGGAGGAGGAGGAAGAGGAAGAGGAGGGAGGACGGAGGGAGTAGCGAGGAGGGAGGAGGGAGGAGAGAGGAGGGAGAAGGACGAGGAGGAGGAGGAGGAGGAGGAGGAGGAGGAGGAGGAGGAGGAGGGGGAGGAGGGAGAAGGAGGAGGAGGAGGAGGAGGGAGAAGGGAGGAGGGAGGAGGGAGGAGGGAGGAGGGAGAGGAGGACGAGAAGGAGGAGGACGAGGAGGAGGACGAGGAAGAGGAGAGGGACGAGGAGGAGGAGGGAGGAGGGAGGAGGCAGGAGGCAGGAGGGAGGAGGTTGATGGGTTGGTTGGCGTCCTCCCATCGAGGCGGCACTGTGGGGGCGCGGGCACGGCCCGTTTAGCAGAGGGCAACAGGGCCGGAGGACGGCGACTACCGCGACCCCGCAGCGCCCGCTCAGGGGAAGGTAAGACACTGCCTGCGGAGCTAGACTAAGAGGAGGGGGAGGACAGAGAGCGGACCGAGGAACGCCCGACTGAGCCTGGCCCCGCGCTTCTCGTAGGTCCACGGAGGAGGAGCCGCTCCTCGACCCTGGAAGCAAGCGCGAGAGAGAAGAGGAGAAGGGCCCGGGAGGGGGGGGGCCCAACGGCGACTCCCTCCCACGGGGACCCCCGCCCGTACTCCCAGCCGCCTCGTGTCGGCGCAGGACGCAGCTGCGAGACTGAGAGAACGGAGGGGGGGGATCACCCCAGGAGAAACAAAGATTTGTACTACTCCGGCCCCCGTGGCCTGGCCCAGAATGACGCCCCCTCCTTCTCTAAGAAACTTGCCAGCACGGCCGCCTGGGGATGAAGGAGGAGGAGAGAGAAGGAGGAGGAGGAGGAGGAGGAGGAGGAGGAGAAGGGGGGGGGGAGAGAGGAGGGAAGGAGGAAGGGGAGGAGGAGGGAGGAGGGAGGAGGGAGGAGGGAGGAGGGAGGAGGAGAAGGAGAAGGGAGGAGGGAGGAGGGGAGGAGGAGAAGGAGGGGGAGGGGGGGGAGAAGGAGGAGGAGGAGGAGGGACGGACGAGGAGGAGGAGGAGGAGGAGGGAGGAGGAGGAGGAGGAGGAGGAGGGGGAGGAGGAGAAGGAGGAGAAGGACGAGGAGGAGGAGGAGGAGGAGGAGGAGGAAGGCATCTGATGAGACGGGTCTATGTATGAAGCTCTGGCGCACTGGCCTAAGCAAAGGCGCCTACGCGGCCTCAGAGCCGAGCCCGATGGCCCAGCAAGATCAGCCTGCGTTCCGACCAAGCCGCTCAAGCACATGAAAACAAAGACGCCGATGGCCTGCGACTTGCTCAGCCTGGCGGCGCTCGTCTTCAAAAAGTCGGCATTGCCGAAAATCCGAGATTCCCGTCCAGGGTCGCCTTCTTCAGGCGGGTCTTGATCATCACAACGCTCAGAACGACGAACTTACAGATGAACTTCGCCACTGGCGTTGCAAAGTTCGGGAGTGCCCAAGGCCTTGATCATCACAACCCGCGGCATAACGAACTTACCGATGTACTTCGCACCTGAGGTTCCAATGCTCGCTAGAATGCTCAAGGCCGTGCTGAACTTCTCCGAAAAAAAAAACACCATGGCTCCCGCACTCTGCGCCCCAGTGAAGTGCGCGCGCGGACGGCCTCCCCTTGAGCCAACATGGCTACGGAGGAGGAGGAGGCGGAGGAGGAGGAGGCCACCTTGAGGAGGGAGGAGGGAGGAGGGAGCAGGGAGGAGGGAGGAGAGGGAGGAGGCACCCTTGAGGCCGTCTGGAGGAGGCCCAGAGATGTCACCTGGAGCATCGAGAGAGAGCTGCGCCCGCCCGCGGAGAGCGCAGGCGAGCCGCGGCCGAGCGCCGGGCTGGAGCCTCTTGAGGGCCTCGAGCGCCTGCTCGGCGTTCGACTCCTGTGGGGCCGGCCGCCCCCTCCTCCCCACTTCGGGCGGCGCTCGTGCCGCACGGCGGGGGCGGCGGCGAGGCGACAAGCGAAGGGAGGGGTCCCTCCTCCTCCTCCTCCTCCTCCTCCTCCTCCTCCTCCTCCTCCTCCTCCTCCTCCTGTTCTTCTTCTCATTAGTATTATCAGTTGTATTCTTATTCGTATGCTTATTGTTCTCACTCTTTTCAGTCGTGTATTGTTATGAATCGTCTTATTAATAGTAATAGTATTCTGGATTTCACTGCTAGTATCCCTATCAGTATTATTGGTATTATTACCAGTATTTGTCGTTGCATTTTTCTTATTAGTATTACTAAAGTGAGCATGGGTCTTAATAGTACTCTTCTTATTAATTCTCTTGCACAGAGTGTCTAGAGCTCCGACCACTTTATTCCGCGTCGCACCCCCCTCCCCCCCCGAGTCCCCAGCGCCAGGGCGCCGTGGCGCTCTGCCCTCCCCGCGTCCCCAGCGCCCCAGCGGGAACCCCGCCCACTGCCCCCTCCGCCACGAACGCTTTATTCCACGTCGCCCCCCCCCCCCCCCCGCGTCCCCGTTTTTGGGCGTTCTCGCCTTTTCGGCGTACCCCCGCTCCAAGACGGCCCAAGAGGCTTCCAGGGTCGCCCCACCACGGCCCAAGAGGTATCCAAGAGCGCCCAAAACGGCCCCAGAGGGCCCCAATACAGCCCCAGAGGCCTCCAAGATGGCCGAAGAGGCTCCCAAGACGGCTCCAAGAGCGGGCCCAGACGAGGGACCCGAACGGACATTTCGAGCTCCAGGCGCAGAGAGGTCCCTTGGACGCCCCAAGTGGAACCCCCAAGAGGCCCCAGAGAGAGGCCCCTGTGACGCCCCAGGAGCTCCCAGAAACACCGCCAAGAGGCCCAAAAAGAGCCCCCAAGAGGTCCACAAACGGCCTCCAAGAGGCCACGAACGCGCAGGCAAACGCCTGCGATGGCACAGTACGGGCCGGCGGAGTGAGCGAAGCGATTGAATACATCGTGAGGACATCCACAGCGAGAGCGTGATTCCTGAGTGTCGAGGGCGCGGCGTCTGAATCAATTGCGAGGGCATCCAACGCGAGAGCGCAATTCCTGCAGAAATTGTATGAAGTCCCGCGCGAGAGCGCGATTTGGCAATGAACTGTGAGGAAATATCAGGCGGGAGCCGTTGCTGGAAATTGGGGTCAACAACACAGTTTAGTGACACCTCGCTGTCCCTTGAAAGAAAAATGGTGCGAACCCTGGGAGAAACACTTGAACCAAACAGATCCAATGCTTACCGGGGAAGGGGGACCAACAACAATGATTATCTAGAAATGGAAATTCAACAACACCAACAGCAACAGCAGCAGCAACAACAACAACAACATTAACAACCTTACCAAGAGCAATGACAACGACAATGACAACGACAACGACGCCAACGTCAACGTCAACGTCAACGTCAACAACAACAACAACAACAACAACAACGACAAAGACAATACCAATGCCAATAATAACAGCATCAAAAATACTTACAACAACATATACTATTACCACTGCTACTTCTACGCCTACTGCTACTACTGCTACTACTACTACTACTACTACTACTACGACGACTACTACTACTCCTACTACTCCTCCTACTACTACTACTACTACTACTACTACTACTACTACTACTACGACTACGACTACTACTACTACTACTACTACTACTACTACTACTACTACTACTACTACTACTACTACTACTACTACTACGACTACTACTACTACTACTACTACTACTACTACTACTACGACGACTACTACGACTACTACGACTATTACTACTACTACCTCATCCTAATCACTACCAGCCCCAACATCGATAGCATTGTCCTCATAATCAGCATCAGCAACAACATCATAATCAGCAACATCAGTATCCGCCTCAGCATTAGATTCCTCATCCGCATCTTCCTCACCATTATCATCATCAGCATCATCATCGTCATCACCATCATAATCATCATCGTCATCATCATCAGCATCATCGTCGTCATCATCCTCATCATTCTCATGACCCTCTCAACCATCATCGTCAACATCGTCCTCATCAACAGCAACATCCTCATCATCACCATCATCAGCATCATCAGCACTAACATCATATACCGCATAATCAGCAGCATCAGCATCATCATCATCATCATCGATATCATCATCATCATCATCATCATCATCATCATCATCATCATCATCATCGTCATCATCATCATCATCATCATCATCATCACCATCATAATCATCATCATGGTCGCCATAGGCATCGTCATCATTATCAGCATCACCATCAGCATCATCATCAACAGCAGCATCGTCACCATCATCATCACCATCACCACCACCACCATCATCACCACCACCACCATCATCGCAATCATCATCCTCATCATCCTCATCCTCATCATCATCGTCAGTATCATCCTCATCGTCATCATCACAGTCACGACCACCATCATCATCATCAGCATCATCAGTATCAGCATCATCATCATCAGCATCAGCATCAGCATCAGCATCAGCATCATCATCATCATCATCATCATCATCATCATCATCATCATCATCGTCAGACGCCCCAGCTTCCCAAGCTGGGGATGCGGGAGCGTCTATGCACCGAACTCATTCACCGAATTCCTTGGCTCTTTGGCCGACCAGACTCGGGCACACGCGAACACGGATCAGCGGCCCGCGGATCTGGTGCGTGAGCGCCAGATCCACGGAACAGGAAATGGACCATCCCTGGAACATGCAGCCAGCGTCGTCCGATCTGGAAACGGAGCGCATCCCCGACAGACGACTTGGTGTCTACGTCGGGACCCCCGTCCCCGTGCCTCCTGGCCCTCCCCTCGGGGCGCGCCCAGGCGGGGGGCGTCCCAGACGGAGGGGGTCGTAACTTGTGGCCCGAGGCACCTGCGCGGCCCAAGGTGGGTGGGGGGGGGGGCCAAGACACGCACCCGAGCAAGCGGAGGGAGCCGCGAGATCCGGGCAGAGCAGATATCATGACCAAGGCCATGAAGCCCATCTCCCCCAGCCATCACCCCCAAAGAAGAGGCAGAAGAAGAAGATGCTGAGGATGAGGATGATGATGACGATGATGATACTGATGATGATGATGATGATGACGATGATGATGACGATGATGATGCTGATGCTGATGCTGATGCTCATGATGATGATGATGATGATGATGATGATGATGATGATGATGATGATGATGATGATGATGATGATGATGATGATGATGATGATGAATGATGGTGATGAGGAGGATGATGATGAGGCTAATGATTATGATGACGATGATGACGATGATGGTGATGATGATGATGATGATGGTGAGGATGATGATGATGATGATGATGATGATGATGATGATGATGATGATGATGATGATGATGATGATGATGATGCTGATGCTGATGCTGATGCTGATGCTGATGCTGATGATGATGATGCTGATGCTGATGCTGATGCTGATGCTGATGCTGATGATGCTGATGATGATGATGATGACGACCTGGTTCTTCACTGCAAACCTCGGCTTGTGTCCTCGGCCAGGGCCATGACAGCCCCCCCCCGTCATCACCCCCCCGCCTCCCTTGGCCGCTCCCAAAATCCCCTGGAGCTCGCAGAGCGGCTCGCTCCTCGCTGGGCACCCCAGAAGCGGGCCTCGCAGCGGAACGAACGCCGCAAGCGCGCGACGCGCGCGCGCGGCGGGGCGGGGCCCGCCTGCCAGACCCCGACGAAGGCGTTGGCGATGAGGATCAGCAGGATCACCAGCGGCTCCACGTAGGCGGTCCAGCCTTCCTCCTGCGGGGCGACGGCCGTGACCCGTCCCCCTGAGCGGTTCTCACCCCTCCCCCCCCCCCCCATCCTGCGGCCGCCCTCCCCGTCTTCCCCCATTCTCCTGCATTGTGGCACAATTCGCTAAACGGTGTCCCCGTTCATATAGCTCTTCCGCCAGCGCAGTTACTCTGCCTAGCCGCCTAGCTGCCCAGCGGCGGCGGCGGGCGTACCGAACCGAGCTTGCGCATCCGCGAGCGCGCGAGGGTGCCAGCAACGCCAGCCCACGAGCGCGACTCTTGCATCGCTCCCGCATGCGAAGGGCGGATCGGAGGACAGAGCCACCATGGAAACGTCTAAAAACCTTCAATCAAGAGAGGCGAGATCTGCACTCGTGCCATGTGCCTCCGGCGCGGGAACTGCTTCGCAAGTAGCCGTCGGAACAGAGCATTTGTTCGACACTGGCGGGAATGATCACCACAAACACCGCTGTTTCAAGAAGCGAGGCTGAATCCAGAGGAGAACAAAAACGGGTACGCAACACACCGCGGGTGGAGGGGACAGGACAGCAGCTGCAGCAGAGGGGAAGCGAAGGGAGGAGAGAAGATTGAGCACACGCAGCTGCTACGCGAGCCCACGTGCTCAGCAGCGCCTAGGTGCTCTACTTCGTCAAGATGGTCGGGGAGGCGACGGCGGTGCTTCCCCCCGCCAACGGGAGCACATCACACTGCACGCTCGTCCGAATCCTGCTAGGGAGACCGTCCAGCAGAGCGGCCAGCCAGCGCAGCGACGCGCCCTGGCAGGGCGTCGCAAGAGGCCTTCGGGATGTCCCACTGCTCCGTGTCATCAAGCAGCGTGGCGGCGAGCGCGTTCTTGCTACTGCCCGCCTCGCCGTTGGGCACAAAACGCACGAGTTCATGGAGCTCCTCGGTCTCCGCGTCGTGCATGCAGAGGCGTCCTGAGGGCTGCCGCCTAGCTTCAGCGATTCCTTGAAGGCCGGGGACCAGCGCAGCGCCTCGTTCACCATGGTCCTGCACCGGCCCAGGACGAAGCCCTCGTGAAGTTGGTCTGATGCTGATCGCAATGAGTGGGGTGTCGCGCCCCGCGGGCCCGTCCACTTCAAAATGTTGTCGGTCCTGCACTTCAGCTGAAGTTGCGGGCCAACTGCTCGCTGTCGAAGGTCTCGTAGCTCGCCTTGTAGTTCTGGGTCTCCGCACGGCATTGCCCGCGCGCTTTAGGATTCATCAGCGTCTTCACAGCACTCGAGCGGTTGGAGAACGCCGTGCCCATCAGCTCTCCCAGGGAGACGCGGATCACAATCTTGCACCTGTTCGCCTCCTACTTGTCGTTGCCAGCCAGCGGCACGGAGCCTGTGCGCTGACGGAGGTAGCGCTGCAACGGGTCGTCGCCTGACTCGCCGTGCGAGCCGCCGGCACTGGCGTTTTGGTGCGATGCGCCAGCCGTGCTGGACTGCCTAGTCGTGACCTGGCCCTGCACCTATTTCTCGAGCGCTGAGAGCGAGGCCTCAAGCGAGCTGCTGTTGCTGGCGGCAATGCGGGTGCCCGCGACGCCGGTCGCGTCCTCTGTGCTCGCCTGCGCACCCTCGCTGAAGCTCGCCCAACCGCTCCGAATAGCAGTTAATCTCGGAGTCGCATGCAGCCAGGGCAGTGTGGTGCTTCTGCATCCGCGTCGTGGGCCGCTGGCCCATGCTTGTAGTGCTCGGCATGTTCGACGCTACCACGTCGGAAGGGTTCCGAGATTTTCGGCGGCTCGCTGGGTCCAGCTCTTCGCCGAGCAGGAGGCGCCTCGCCTGCGCATCGGGCGCCACGGAGGGGGGAGGGGAGGAGTCAGAGCGGCTCAGGCACGGCCTTGGCAGGCACACGGGTGCCTGATGGCGGATGGCAAGAACTCTTCAAACTGGACGCTCGAGCCGATCCCTTCGGCTGCGTCCAAGCTCGAAGCACCAAGGACACCCGTCGCCAGCTTGCGCCACAATGACTACGGAGGAGGGGGGAGGACGAGGAGGAGGAGGAGGAGGCGGAGGCCATTCGTCGCTCCTCAGTGTTCGCGGTCTGCGCGCCCGTCTGGGTCGCATCCACGCCTCACCACCACCCACCACCGCCACAACAACAGAAACAAATGGCATGTGAGGCACACGGCAAGAATCCCAGGGGCGCGACCTCAACACGGACCAAAGAAGGCCCACCCTCCCCCCCTGGCCCTCCTGGCTCTTCTCGTCGAAGTACGCCAGGCCGAAGGACACCCCAGCGGAAGCCAGCAGGATGCGAACGAGCAGGTCCTGGCGGCGGTGCCGACCGCCGCGCTGCAGAGGCGGCGAGAGTCCTGGCCTGTGCGCCCTCCTCATCGTGACCAGCGTCCTCCTCCCTGCGGTGTCAAGGCAAGCGATCCCAGGGACACGGACCCGGGGATGTGGCACGTGGGCGCGGGCGGGGGGGGGGCATTCATCAAAACTGCAACTCTCAATCGGCACCCTCCCCCCCGTGGCGCGAAGCCAGGACGGCCTGATGTGCCGACGATGCACGTCGGTGAACGCACGCGCGGGCCCCTGTGACCAAGAATTGTGTACACAGGGGTTGCCGAGCGCCAAGGCTGGCATGTGCCGGCGGAGAAAGATCAAGTGGCCCTGCCCGTGCCTTGGCGGGGTACGCACGGCCACCTAGAGGCCTCCTAGATGGGGTCGGAGTAGATGGGGTCGGAGGATCGCGCCGCATCAGCGATGCATCGGCGACGCATCGGCGGTCCATCGGCGATGCACCGGCGATGCAACGGCGATACAACGGCGATGTCGGCAATGCATCGGCGACGTCCGCGTGAAGAAAATCGGGCTCCGCATCGAGCCTCATCGGCGATTCATCGGCGATGCGGCGCGATCCTCCGACCCCATCTACTCGGACCCCATCTAAGAAGCCTAGACCACTGCAGACGCCGGCGCCCGTGACCTTCGCAGCGCCCGCCGGGCTGCCACGCGGCAGCCAACAAGTGGCAGGCGGCTCACCGAGCCTCGGCGGCGCGCTCGGGGGGAAGGTAGGCCTTCTCAGAAGGCCCAGAATAGGCAAGGGCGTCCCACTACTGAGTAACTACTCGCACATGGCCTGGATCCACCGCGGAGGATTCACGATCCATTACATTAAGGCATACGCATGATTTTCGGGCGTTTGCGAGTAAGCACTTTGCGAATAGTAAAACGCCCTCGGTAACAAAAAGCCTCCGGCCTTCTAAGGATCTCCCTGAGCCGGCTCCGAAGCCACAAGGGGGGCTCAGAAGGCCGGAGGCAGGATCAGTCAGCTTCGACTCGGGGCATCGGATCGCACCGGAGTGCACGTCGGATAGGGCTGCATCAGCACGGAGTCGAAGTCGAATCGTATCCGCTGCGCCAAAATACGCAACAGTGCCGTGCAAGCATCCGGCACCATCGCATCGCCGAGCGTCGGAATCAAATCGGATCGGACCAGCCGAAAACGACATCGACTCGGTTCAATAGGACAAGGAGACGACCCCACATTAAAGTTGTGTTCACTATAATGCTGCTGATCACTCGAGCTCGAGTACTTGAGTGTCACAACTTGCAAGAAGAAGCATGAGAAAAGAGCGTGGTTGAACGAAGCCGTTGCCCGTACACAGAAGCTACAGGGTAATCGAGCAAAGGTACTCGTACATCAGTGCAACATATGGACGCAGATACTGCTCCCATCAGGAAAGCTTGGGCAAAAATGCGTGCAGGAGGGTTTTGAGAACATGTTGCTGTCGTCTCGAGGCGGCTTTGGCCCGTCTTGAGGCCGCCTTTAGGCCGCGAAGACCAGAGACCAAAGCAGGGGGGTGGAGTTTGAGAACGCGCGCTGAGAAGGGGAGGGGGTCGGGGGCGTCCAAGAGAGGGGGTTGAAGAAGGGTGCTCGCCAATCATGGCCCGGGGCAAGTTCGCGGCCCAGCGAGGGGCAAGGGACGCATTGAAATAAGAAAAGGCGCCACGAAAACCAAGGATATACCATGGAGGAAACGGGTCCCGAGGGAAACGGGTCCTAGGCCCATGGGCATTCCCCCAGGACCACCTGTTCATCCCGAGTCGTTTTCTGACGGTCCCAGGGCCCGTGGAGGGCCCGAGAGCCCGAAAAAACGGCGAAAAACCTCAACACCGCTTCCCTCAGATCCCCTCTCCCCGTGGCGAACCAATGTATCACGGCCCCCGGCCATGATATCCACCCCCACCTGGTCATCACCCCCCCCTGGCCGCTCCCGAGAGGGGCGGCGCCCCTGGGAAGCTAACACAGATCCTGTCAGACGGCTAAAAGGCGCTTGAACACACGCCGACCTGCCCCCGGTGGCCGACGACGACGACGATGACGACGACGTCGACGAGGACGATGATGTGGCCGATTGGAAAGGAACGATCGACAATGTGCCTGCCGGGTAGAAACCGCGTGGGGAGAAAGCCCAGACATCGACCGCTTCACACGACCACCGCCTGCTGGCGCAAATTGAACCCACCGGCCACCGGGCACGAACCAGAGACGCCCGACTTGTGCGGCTGCTCGTCGTCATCTGCGCCCTCGCCCATGTCCACATACCTCTCTCGGCGGCGAGCGTGGGGGGGAAGTGAGAAGGGGCGGGCCTCCTCAGAACGCTCAGACGTCCCCCAGCCTTCTGAGAAGCTCCCAAAGCCTTCACCAAAGACACAGAAATCCTCTCAGAAGGTGTGAGGGCTTCCGAGAAGTCCAGCCGCCTTCTGAGAAGGCCTTCTCCTTCTCCCTTCCACCCCCTCGCTCGCCGCCGACTCTCTCTCTCTCTCTCTCTCTTTCCCTCTCTCACTCTCTCGCTCTCTCTCTCTCTCTCTCTCTTTCGTCTTCTTGTCCCCACTACCTCCTCTCCTTCACTCTGCTTCTCTGCCTACTCCCTCGGCGGGCCTCGAACTGCGCGTAGATCAGCTGGCAGAGGGACTTCTTCTCCTCCGCGTCCAGCTCATTACGGCCAAACCGCGCGCGCTGCTCCGACACCTCGCAAGCACCAGGCGGCTTGCGACACCGCTCACCGATGAGAGAGTGGAGGCCGAGCGACCGAAAACTTGGGTGCTCGCGTGGCAAATTCTGAAACATTCTTCCGAAATTGTGCGCAGGTGTCCGCGGTGCCTGGGACCAGGGATTGCAAGTAGTCCTCGAACTCCTCCTCCGCCTCCTCCTCCTTCCCTCCTTCATCCCATTCGTCAGGCTACCCCTTTTCCTGCCGCATCCAGTCGCGCACGGTCGCGCGGATTGGGCTGAAAGCAATGATAAGGAAGTGAGCATACAGCTAAAGCGCAGCGGCGCAAGCCATAAGGAATGCTAAAGTCTACGCCGAACTGAAACTACAACTGAGCTACATACTGCACAAGCGTAAGCGAAGCTGAGAACCGAAAAGGAATATTCAGAACTGGAACGCGAAGTCTACCTCATCCTCCTCCTCCTCCTCCTCCTCCTCCTCCTCCTC